CATACATATATATATACATACATATATATATATATATATATATATATATATATATATATACACACACATGCATACATACATATGTATGCATTTTGGAATGCTCTTACAAACACTGATTTTCATAATGAATTAAATATAGTTAATTTCATACTATGGTTAATTTCATAGTGAATTAAATATCAATTCAAATGTCAATAGCTTTTCACAATGTGTTAATTTTGATTTGGACAACTGTTATATGTGTACAGCTGTGTGCATCTCTCACAACTTTGCATCAAAATTAAATGTCATTTGGGGGCGTGTTCCGGCGGGAAAGTGACGTCAATGCATACCCTCTATTGGAACAGTAAGTATCTACTGACATCTGAGCATTCTGACCTGTAAGCACTTCCAAAGGATTTAAAATCATAGGATTTAAAAGTTAAAACCAGTGAGTCTAGATTAATCCAACATTTCATGTTACTGTCTGATGTTTAGTTTTTATGGGCAGTCACAGATGTTACAATTTCTTTTTGTAAGACAATTTTGATGAAACTATGGATTATACATACAGTTATACAATACTTTCCCTTTTTGTTGCCGGGGAGACAATCATATATCTAAAAACATCACAAAGATGTTTTTTTTTTTTTATGAAACACTGCACCATTAAAGGAAGCAGGAATGAGAAGCAGCAAACAAGTTAAAGGTCAGTCTTATATAAGGTACTGCATAGATATTTTAACATTAACTGCAATCTTCATTTGACGTCAATATCTATTTTCAAATCCAAAGATTGCTCATGTTTCCTTCACAGCTTCTCAGTGCCACCGCAACACCGCTGCTGAATCTATAGTGTGGTGAAAAGTTATATTTTCCCTGAGTTTGCAGTCTGAATTGAATCATGATTATGATTATGCATTGTATGAACAATTTCATTTTATGCCTTCAACACAGAATGAAAATGTAAAGGACCAAGCTGGGTTCAAACTCTGGTCATTTTGAATTTTTGGCTTTTTACAAACGTTTTTTTTCTGACATGCAACAAGAAAAAGTTAACTATTTTAATTGAGTAAAGCACTAAATCTCTGTGCTTTGTATTTCCATATATGCACTTATGGCCACTGA